ATTTTTAATGATTTTAAAGTTTCAGGGGATTTTTAAGGATAATTTTAATTGATCGGCCTGTTTAAATATTTCTTTTTAATTCGGCTTTTAATTATTGTATTTGTATTGTAGTTTTATGAGGCTGTTAGCCGCCCTGAGTCCCATGAGGAGAAGGGCGGGGTATAAATTAAATTAATAATAATAATAATAATAATAATAAATACTGAAAGATTGCTATCATATCACCCCTAGTTCTTCTCTTTGTTAAAATAGACATACCTAGTTCCCACAACTGTTCATCGTATGGTTTAGCCTCCAGACCCCTTATCATTTTTGTCTTGTATGCTGAGATGTTGGTTGAGTAAGTCATATATTTTGAAAAAAAGGATATTCCATTTCAATTCGAATGTCTTCCAAGCGGCCTCTGAGTTCTGCAGAATCTTCTTCACCATATTCTTCAAATACCTGCAGCTGCAGTTTCAGCTCCTCATTGTCTTGAGCATGCAATTCCTGTAAAGGGCATCTGTCACTTCAGAGGATATCCACTAGACATCACAACCCTCTTTTATTCCAAGAAAACTTCAAATTATTTGGTAAAATATTGTTTTGTTTTCTCTCTTCCCTTTCCTTTCTCACCTCCCTGCTCCCCCCAATAAGAGAACTAATTTGTTGAAATTATTTGAGACAAGAGACAAACTGATTAACATAAAACTGATTACAATGTCCCTGCCCAAACATTCATGACATAAAAAGGGAACCTCTTTATCATTTATATATAGGCGATTCACATAATTGAAACATAAATTGAAACACAAATGGTATACAGGGTAGTCCTCAACTTATGACCGCAGTTGGGACCAGAATTTCCATTTCTAAGCAAAGCAGTTGCTAGGTGAGTTGCACCTGATTTTACAACATTTTTTGCCATAATTCTTAAGCAAATCACACAGCCTTTAAGCAAATCTGGCTTTCCTAATTGACTTTACTTGTTGGAAGTCATCTGGAAAGGTTGCAAATGGTGATCACATGACCTCAGGATGCCGCAACCATCATAAACATGTGCCAGTCTAACAGGGCTAACAGCAGAGTTCTCATCTTCATTCAAGAATCCATTATGCATTTCCAACTGCCGAGAATACTTAATTTGCATAACTACACATTCCTTATTATTTTAGTTCTCTACCATTCTTTCTTTTGAGAATCCTATGTAAATAAGAGTTATTCTTTTAAAATATGGCCAGCTATAAAAGAACATAGGTATTCCTTGACTTATGACTAGTTATTTAGCAACCAATCAAAGTTATGACAGTTTAGAAAGATAATGGGGAAGCTGGTAGGAAAGGTTGCAAGTTGCTACTGCTGCTTGCCAAAAGATTTCTCCTTCCTTTCATGTATGGGGGGAGGAGGGAATCCTTTGCCAGGCTGCAGAAACGAAGCCACAAAAGGGAGAGGAAATCTTGCCCTGGTCTGCAGAAATGAAGCAAAATCCAAACTTTGTTTCTTCAGCACAAGACTTTCCTCCTGCACAAGATGGGGAGGGGAATTCCTTCATTGAGCTGGAGAAACAAAATAAGAATCCCAAAGCTTTGTTCCCACATTCCACCACAGGAGTTCTCTTCTGTTCACAAAGAGTTGCTGCCTGCCTTCTTACGGCAGGCACAGTGATTTCACTTTGTTCATCTTAAAACTGGGAGAGCTGGGAATGCACTTGTTGAGCAAGGCAGTCATGTGGGTATCTTGCTGAATGACCACTTTGCTCAATGAGCAAGATTCCAGTGCTAATTATGGCCATAAGTCAAAGACTACCTGAACCCCCAAAATAATGTTGAAGTGTAATTAACCCCATCAAGTTGTTTACACTTTAAATGGAGTCTTAAGATATTATCTTTCCCAATATAGCAAAGGTATCACAGTAGAAAGGAGAGATATTTCTAACCTTCAGGATTTGCTGCAGTCCAGAGCGCATTAATTCACTGCGGATGTGCAGCCTGAAGTCGAGCTCATCTGATGGGATGATTAGAGCATTGATCAACTGTAGACAAGCTACCTAAGAAAGTCAAAATAAAAATACATGATTCAAAGGCAACCCAGCTCATATTCTAAGTCTACTCCAGAACAGAAGTCTTCTTTTTAAAAGTAATTAATATTTGTCGCCCAGTGTCCCTATTATATTTAAATATATGCAGGGGGTCAAGTAATAATATACCTAGAGCAGCAGGAATGCATGGCTTGAAAAGACTACTCACTCCTTTTCATCCCAAAACCAGAATGCAGAATTTTAGAATCACAATGCTTACAAAATGCTTTATAATTAATGGATACTTAGTATGCTCTTCTAGGGCTTGTTAAACTAATCAAACCATCTTCCTGTTACCTTATACTCATTCTAATCAAAATGCCTGATTGCTACCTTGAGCTGGTTCTGAAGATATACAAAAAGAATTTCAGGATAAAAATCCATTGAGAAATCAAGTGTACTCAGTAATGGTGAAATAAAAGAGAAAATGAAAGGCATCAGAGTATTCTGAAAGAGATAAGGTAGATAGAGTGTGACATTCTTTTTCCAGGTTCCTCCTATTACCTTTAATGCTACTGAAGTTCCACTTTTCAGGCCATCCACAATGGGTTTAAATCGTTCTACTTCATCCATTTCTGCACGTTCAGTCAATGCTCCCAAAACTTGCTCGTGCCTAATCAAAAATAAAGGAATCACAAAAAACAGAAAGAAAAAATAAAGGAAGAAAAAGGGGGGAAATAAAAACCAGCTTTTATAATTGTTAGATACCAAGTCTATATTTTTTAAAAAAATCTTATTTTGACTTGGGATGTTAAAGATCCCATATTAAAATTTAGGATGCTAATCAAATTCTTCTGAATTTGAATGTATCAAATTTAGACTCAATTGTACAACTGGCATATACTCATAGATTATATCTGGCACTAGATGTTTTTGTAAAGAGTACAAATAACTAATCATCAACTTTATTAAATTCAAAGTTTGCTCACAGCTGCCAGTGTTTTTATTGTTTATTGTTTTTCTTCAGCAGGCAATGTACGTAGAACGTAGAATGATAGGGACTTCAGAAGTCTTTTAGTCCAAGCCACTGTTCGAGTCAAAAAAAATTACAGTATCCTGGACAAGTGGTTGAGGTACATTACTGAATGCTCCCCTCCATAAAGATATGGTTCCATTAACTAAATGTTTAAATAAATAATTAAACTCTCATTTCTTCAGTACAAAAGGCTCAATTAACAAATTATTATCTTTTGGGGATAATAATTAACTGAAAACATGTGAAATCTCTTTGAATCCTTGTAACACACATATCATTTCTCTCTCCTTATTACATTTTTCTGTTTTATTTTCTTGAATATTTTGTTTCTATATCAAAAATGTTTTGAACAAAATTGTGCAAAAATTATGGAGAGGAATCTAATTGCTATTACAAAAATAGTTTACTTGAATTAACTATTCATTCATAACAAGTAAAAGTTAGGAGGAACAAATGCATTGGATTGTGTCTTAAGATATGCAAACAGAAGTAAATTTGTGAAACAAGCTTTGCTGATTCCTCACTTCTTGCTATAACCTCCATTTATACTCTGAAAAGCTATAGATGTAAAACTTCCTTAAGTAACATGGGATGAGGGTAATGGCTTCAGGAAGAGAAGGAAGAGAATGTTGCTTCAACTTTTTTTCCTTGGGATATTCAGAATTCATCTCCTGTACCACTAATGTGCTTATTAAGAGGCATAACTGATAAAGAAACCATATTTTAACGTATTTTCCCAAAAGGACCCATTCTTCTACAGCGTACAACTAAATCAAAAGATAAACTACTCATTGCCACATACATATCCACAGGCTGAGGCAGGATGCAGAGAGCAGAGAGTAGCTTGATAGCATCAATCATCATCGTAGGGACTTTAGGATCAACTGCTTTTGCCAAAAGTAGAATCCCATCATCTGTTTCAAGCATTGTCTTAATTCCAAACTAAAAAGTAAAAATCAATTTGGGTGAATAACTTAGATTATAGGCAGAAATAATATCCATACCACAAAATAGCACAAGTCTCACAAAAACATTATACTATATGTTCAGAAAACAAGAGAAAGGGGATATGTTCTAATGAAGAACTTTTGAAGCCAATTTCGAGAAGAACTTAAAGGCATTTTCACTCAATACTGTTTCCATTCCTCAGTGTATTCAAAGTGCTTTTCAGTCTGCCAAGCAATTAACTGAATAGGCAGGAAACATGATGAATGGGAAATGGAAGTATACACACAACAATCCAGACACTTTTGATGTCAAATTTGCTGTAGAAACCAATATAAAAGAATTCCAGCAATCGTTGTATATGAAGTTGTCTTATATGTTGATAATGGATAGATCTGATGTCAGATTGATCTAACCATATACAGTATAAACAAGAAACCTAAAGCTTACACCATCTATGCTGATGCATCATTCCCTGCTAATGGTTAAAGTTAATACAGATAGTCTTCAACTTACAAGTATGATTCAGCCCCCCAAAAATCTGTTGTTAAGTGAGACATTTGTTAAGTGAATATTACCCATTTTGCAACTTTTCTTGCCACAGTTGTTAAGTGAATCACTGCAGTTCTTAAGTTAGTAACAGGATTGTTAAGTGACTCTGACTTCCCCATTTATTTGTCAGAAGGTCACAAAAGGTGATTATGTGACCCTGGTACACTCATAAATATGAGTCAGTTGCCAAGCATCTGAATTTTGATTATGTGACCATGGGATGCTACAAGAGTCGTGTAAAAAACAGTCACAAGTCACATTTTTTCAGTGCTGTTGTAACTTAGAACAGTCAGTAAATGAACTGTTATAAGTCGATGACTGCTTATACCAGTCATTTTTAAAAATATTTTACAATGCAGATTGTCCTCAGTTATTAATCACTTGTTTAGTTACTATTTAAAGTTATGATGGCGCTGTATGAGGAGACATGACCAGTTCTTCTAGGTGTGACTGTCACATTATTGTAATTTGGGCGCTTGACAACCAGCTCATAATCACAACAGTCACAGCATCCCACAATCATAGGATTGCTATTTGTATCATTTGCTGCTGGCTTCCAAAAAGCAAAGTCAATGGAAAAGCCAGCAGGAGGTCACAAACGGCAGTCAAATGATACCATGCTTTATGATTGCATCACTTCGCAACAGAGTTGCAGAATCCCAGTTACTCTCATTATGCAATGACTATCTTTATGCATAAGTTATAACTAAAGCCAGGTTTTACTGCAAACAGGCCCATGGTATTCTATGCACACAAGAATGTCTACCTAGAAATTACTTTGTCTCCCAACATACTGATGTTCACATTCCACCAATTGGGACATATATGAGTAGCTGGGGTCAATATTCATGGGCTCATTTGCTGATGACTATGGCAATGTGGAATGTTACAAGGGGTATATGTCAAAGAGTTTGAATTAAAAAAGAAATGGAAGAAAAAAAACTCTGTCAAACAAAGGGGAAGAATGCAACAGATTTTAAAGAACATGGTCTGATCATGTAAAATTGACAAACACATTCCTGAAAGTATGAGTTTAATGAAAGGTTAAAATATGTTAGAAATTATTAATTAGGGTCAGAAATGCATCCTTGAAATGAAATGCTAGCAAATAGTTGAAAATTGAGCCAAATGCAATATAAGAATTTTCTTAGTAATGTATTTTAAGGATAAATGGCATTGGCATGAGGACTTTTTGTGATGGTGTTGAAGAGTATGTTGATTCAGCATATGAGTATGTGGGTGCTTTTATATGCAGACTAGATGAGCCATGCCAAACTTTGGCTCATCATTTCAGAGATATTTCTAATGTACTGCCTTCACTGGAAAAGGTGGGATACATTCAGAAATATATCTGCCTAGAAGATGCAATGTTGAACTGTATAGCAGAGTCAAACCACAGCAGAGGAAATATTTTATGACATTTTGTGTTGCCATAGATTGCTTTATGATAATGTTTATATTTTAATATGTTTTATATAAAATTTGCCAAATTTCAATTCCATGGGAGTCATGGATTTCAGATACATACTGTAAGTTAGCCCATTTATGTATCTTCATTCAAAAACTTTTGCCCTATGGTACATCATTTCGTCCAGTTAAGGGTTACAGGAATCAGCATTTTAAAGTTTTAAATCCAGAGTTTTAGTAGTATATAGATAATGCCATATTCTTGGCTAACAGCCCCAGTGATTTACAGTAAAACATATACAAATTAATTGATGCAATAAACAAAATAGGTTTGAAGATTAATATAAAAATCTACTTGCAAATGGTAAAATTAAGAGAATAAACTATTAAAAGTTATATATAAATGGTCAAAAATTTGACCAAGTATATCCTTGATAGAACATTTCTTAAAGATAGAATGCCTGCAACATTCTCTTTTTCACATATTTTCATACTTTAAACTCCATTATCGTACTACTACTGATTTTATTCCTTCTGCACCTCTCAGAAATACTTATTTTACAGTTAGCATTCCTTTCTATTTTGGTTTTTTATGCCTAAACTGTTCTTTTTCTCAATTCTCAAAAGTATTTTTTCAATGTTCATTTTACTTCAAATAATCACTCATAATCTCCTCACAAATAACTCTCACAGAAAAATTTATTAGACTTACTCTTCATTTTTTGAGTGTTTTCCTGCCAACATTTTGTTTAGGAATGTTTTATCTGCAATAAACTGTTTGAATAAACTAGGACAAAAGACAGATGTCAAGGATTTCTGCCTATGTGTAGTCACAATTAATGTTGTTGATTTGTAAATTTCTTTAACATATTTTAAATAGTGTTAATGTCCGAAGTCATTATCTCACCCACCCATTATAGTCTTGTTTTATTATGATCCTTGCTTGTAAGTTTAGAGCATCATTTTCTATACTCATATCCAGTGTGTAATAGTGTTCCTGAACTGATTTCTTCTGCTTTGAGAAACTGATTTGATTTTTTTCGGCTTCTTTCAGTAAATGTATTCTGTTTTAATGTAGCCTAATCTTTCCAGTATAGTTTTTCTTCTTAACTTAGACAGTTATCTTCATCTCATTTTAGACTCCCATAATCCTGAAATTTATCCTTGTCTTGTCTCTTTAGTTCTCTCCTCACAATTTCTTATATACAATTCTAAATTTAGAATTCTTAGTAGTATTATAGGAAATAACATTAATTATAATTTTCATTCAGATTACCTTTCAGGGTTTTTTGTTTCTACTTGAATTATATTTTCTGCTTCAATTTTTTTTTAGATTTCTATTTCATGTGGCTCTTAACCATGGTTTTAAGTATTCACAATCTGAAAATACAAATCAGATCATGCCTTCTGAGGTAAAGGGTTTCATGTATTGGCAGCTTTGCAAGTTTTTTCTCTACATTTTATAAATATGCAAAATTGTAGACAGACTTTTGCATAAATAAACTTTTTTTCATAATGCCATTCTCCAATACCTTAATAATCACAACTATTCAGCTGGAATAAAGTCCTTGTGAATCAAGATTTTTCAGAAGTGGTTTGTCATTGCCTCTTTTTTAGGGTTGAGAGAAAGTGACTGGCCCAAGATTACCCAGCTAGCTTTTTTGCCTAAAGATGGACTAATACTGCTGAAAAAGAACATGTTTAAATTCTTGCCCATTTGTAATTTTTGCTTTCTACTAATTAAATATAAGGAATTATATTCACAAGTTTCTACATGGAGAAAATAAGGGACTTACTTTGTTGTTCATGAAAGCTTTTAAACACCTAATAATTTCATGTTGGATCCTGAAGTCATATGACCTGGAAAAAACAAGAAACAAAACTGAAATAATATTAATTGTACACCCAGAATTATCTACTTACACATGTAGGTTTCCATTCCAGAACATTAAAAAACATGCAAAACCATAAGAAACTGTAGCAGAATGCTCCTAACTATATCAAAATTCAGTAGAGGAAAAATATGACTGGATAAAAATACTACCCACAAGGCCCAATCTTGTGGATCCATACATCCATTTATCCTTTGTTGTTGTTAGTTGCAAAGTCGTGTCTGACCCATTGCGACCCCATGGACAACGTTCCTCCAGGCCTTCCTATCCTCTACCATCTTCTGGAGTCCATTTAAGCTCACGCCTACTGCTTCAGTGACTCCATCCAGCCACCTCATTCTCTGTCGTCCCCTTCTTCTCTTGCCCTCCATCTTTCCCAGCATTAGACTCTTCTCCAGTGAGTCCTTCCTTCTCATCAGGTGGCCAAAGTACTTGAGTTTCAACTTCAGGATCTGGCCTTCTAAAGAGCAGTCAGGGTTGATCTCCTCTAGGACTGACCAGTTTGATCGCCTTGCAGTCCAGGGGACTCGCAGGACTCTTCTCCAGCACCATAGTTCAAAGGCCTCAATTCTTTTGCACTCAACCTTTCTTATGGTCCAACTTTCACAGCCATACATTGCAACTGGGAAAACCATGGCCTTGACTATACGTACTTTTGTTATCCTTATCCTACACAAATGTCCTTATTTTTCCTTTAATCTTTGTACACCCAAATAAAACACACAATTAAAACATGTTTCCAGCATGCAAATATCATCTTAACCATTCATTCATCCACCCATCCATCCCTCCACCCATCCATCTATATTAAAAGCTATATTCATTCAACCTTCCAACCTATCTATCTACCTACTTATGAAAGTCAGTGTATTTAGAGTCCTGCACTAAGGTACGGAGACTCAGGTTCTAGACCTCCTTTAGGCACAGAAACTCACTTGATGATTTTGGGCCAATAACACCCTCTCAACCTACGCTGAGAAGTCAAAAAACATCTATCTACTGACCAACACTGGACCAGCATGGTAGATTACAATCCATATAATATGCACACTTGTATACACAAATGAGGCAGAATGTTTGTGCATATACACAAATTTATCTAGATGCATATGTATATGTATATATTTTATCATTTCATCTCAACTTAAACTATTTTAATTCAAGTGCTCCTTACCCAGAAAACTCATCCTTCTCATCATGAAGACCTTTCAATATGTCCAGTAGGCAATTCAGACCTTCAGCTCCAAAATTTTGCACCCAGCTGCAATTGTTGTAGAATAAAACACATTATTATCTAAATAAAATAATTACTTCATCTTCTCATTGCACTGGCAATTGCATAAAGGTAGTCCTCGAATTACAACAATTGGGACTAGAATTTCCATTGTAAATTGCTGTAGTCATGTCGATTTGAACCTGATTAAACACAATTTTTATGGTGGTCATTAATCAAATCACCATAATTGTTAATTAAATCATGCAGTTGTTAAGTCAACCCAGCTTCTCCAATGGGTGTTTTTTTGGCCAGGAATTGGCAAAAATGATCACAAATCACAATCACATGACCAAGATGTGTCCAAAATGTGATTAGGTTACTATGGGAGAGGTGCAACCATCATAAGTGTGAGTACAGGTCATAAATCACTTTTTCTGAGGCCATGATAACTCTACACAGTCGTTAAATGAAGAGTTGTAAATCGAGGACTAGCTGTACATCTGTCTCCAGACATGCATCATGCCCACAAATTTTAAACAGTATTTAGCAGTCAACAACATTCTAACTGAACCATTACCTGACAGGATTGTTATTGAGTGACACACGTAGAGACTCCAAACATCCAAGGAGCTGTGCATCTTTAAGACCAAATTTTAGTTCCTGAATGTACATAATGGGAGATTTCGAGTTCTCCTTTTGACTCATGCCCTGCAAATGAAAAAGAATGATAAATATATATCCATTCTTTCTAAATTAAATATGTCTCCACAGCACAGAATAAAATTCTTGAATTGAATTTTTCTCTAATGTTCAACAGATGAATACAACAAAGCTTTCAGTTTTAAAAATGGGTTCAATTGGATATTGTTGAACTATATCCAATTACATTCCAGAATTATATTCCTTTTCTATTTGCTATAATTTAGGACTTCTTCAGTATTTAGATACTGGCTTTCTATTATCTTCTCCATCCCACAGTTTAATAATCAACTATACTTCATTTCAAAAATATATTAGAATATAGCTGGCAATACATTGTATGTTTGCCTTATAATTATAATTACAATTCATAATAGAAATTTGTACTTGGATTTCTTGTAAAAAGTCTGAGGTTGATTTCAGGAATGTGGAATCAGTTATTATTACTGTTTGATATGTACGTTTCTTGTCCAGCAACTACTCAATAAGACTAAAACAAGTGAGACTTGTTAAGTTAGATTAAAACAAAAAATGGAATATAAAATTATTATAAATTAAATGTAATAATAAAATATTAAAAACAATTAACAATTAAAAGCTTGGCAAAACAGATAGGATTTACTAATTTTCTAAATAGGATAGAAGGGTAGAAATATGTATCTTATCAGGAAAGGGTGTTACTTAGATAGTCAGCATCAAGCTACTTAAGGCTTTAAATTGAGCTCTCGAATTAAGCTCAGTAAACAGCCAGCAACCAATAAAACTTTTTCAGTAGAGGTACTGCATAGTTTCTGCACCTTGTACTTCTTAGCAGCCTAGCTGTTCCATTATACAACAACTGAAATTTCCAGAAATTTACAAGGGTACTCACACAAAGCATACCACATTAATTAAGAACAGATTATTGCCAAAACTAACCAGTTCAACAAAAACTATAGCTATCTCATGAATTATAATTCTGCAGAAGCACCCTTTGCCACATCAACAACTTGCAATTCTATGACAGTTGAGAATTAAATTCCAAAGTGTCTGTCCTTTGGAACATCCTTCTCCCAGAGATTAGAACATAGAATAGGTTTGGAATAGACCTTGGAGGTCGTCTAGTCCAACCCCCTGCCTAAGGCAGTAGAATGTATTCCATTCCAGACAAAATAGCTGTCCAATGTTTTCTTGAAAATCTCCAGTGATGGAACCCCCACAACTTCCAAAGGTAAAAAGTTCCACTGATTAATTGTTCTGTCAGGAAATTTCTTCTTAATTTTAAGTTGGATCTCTCTTTAATGATGTTTCACTCTTACTTCTTGTCCTGCTCTCAGGTTCTTTGGGGAATAGGTTAAAAAACCCCTCTTCTCTTTAACAGCCCTTCAAGTAATGGAAGATTGCTGTTATTTCAACCATAGTCCTTCTCTTTGTTAGCCTCCAGACCCCTTATAATCTTTGTTGCTCTTCTCTACATTCTTTCTAGGGTCTCAACATCTTTTTTATATCATCATGATCAGTACTGGATGCAGTATTCCAAGTTTGATCCTACCAGTGCAATATAAAGTGGTACTACTACTTTACGTGATCTTGATGCTATCTCTCTATTGATGCAGCTTAAGACTGAGTTGGCTTTTTTGGCAGCTACAGCATACTGCTGGCTCATACTTAAGTGGTGGTCTACTAGGACATCTAGATCTCTCTCACAGTTACTACTGTTGACCCAGGTATCATCTATTCTATACCTGTGCATTTGTTTTTTCTTGTCTGTATAGGACCTTACTTTTCTCATCACTGAAAGGCATTTTGTTGGATAACGCCCAGTGTTCAAGTCTGTCAAGGTCCTTCTGAATCTTGAATCTATCTTCTAAAGCGTTAACTGTTCCCCTCAGCTTATTGTCATCTGTAAATTTGATGAGTTCCCTTTCTATCCTTCTCATCTAGATCATTTATGAAATTATTGAAGATTACTGCCCCCAAGACAGAACCTTGAGGTACCATACTGCATCCTTCCCTCCATTTAGATGTAGTTCCTGTCGAGTTCCGGCTGAGAAGCCCAACAAAGCAGAACACCAGAGGCATTGCATTCTCTAATGTCAACTTTATTAGGAATTAGCAAACCGATACGATAGAATTAAAGTTAGCTCTGAGAAAATGGCAGGAAGAAGTTAATTTAAAAAATGAAACTTTCCCTCCCCTCTCTGACAGTTCATGTCATGCCCCCATCGGAGCCTGAATCTGCTGAGGAAAATGAGCTTTTTCCTCTCCCCCCTCTTTAGCTTATTTTAATCAGTTTTATATCTATTTTATTGTAGTACTAGTGTTGTGCTGTTTATTTGGGTTAGTTACAGAATATTTCACCAATAAAATTATTTTTAAAAACACAAAAATTGATATTACTTAATGACTATTCAAGATCGTCCTAAGCGGAGATAAACTCTTTGATCTACCAATTGAATGGTAGTGTTCATTGACTTGATTTACTAATAGGGCTTCCATGAAAAAGGCTAGCATAGAAAAGAATTATGAAGTAGTAAGAGATATGGATCCCAATGGCTTAGAAACTAACCAATCCAGAATCAAAAGTCTCTGGAAGGGAATTAATTTTGATACCTTGATTCCATAACCTCAACCAAAATTTCTAGACCACGGGTTGGAAAAAAACTACAAAACTGTATATTAGGGTATTAAAAAGAGAAATTGTCATGAGTTATAAAAAATCTTATCAGGAGTTCTACTGATCAAAAAAAAAAAAAAAACAGGAAAGAAAGCATAGAAGAAAGTCCTCAACCAGCTCTGAAGACATTTCTCTTACACATGGTCATATGATCCAATAAAAACTGGCAACAGTACTGGATGTATTAGTGATCGATGGCATCTGGGACTATCGGTGGGGACAGTCCCAGAGATGAAAGTAATAATGGAGAACTTGTGGCTTCAACAATAATTTTTGGGCAATTATTAGGTCCGTTTAAGTGCAAGTGTGTTGCTTTCTCAGATCTCTCAGAAGCAAGAGATGTTGCGAGAGATGTTGGGAAGACTGCTTAGGCTGAACCTTGTTTAATTATGACACAATTTAACAGTCAAGTTTTTTTAATGAAGTGCCATATTCTGATTCTCTGCTTCTTAAACAGCGGAAACATTGGAACTTTCCATTTACTTTTAGATTCACAGCAGTTAAATGATGTTCAAACTGTAAACTAAATAAAGTAACTATACTGAACAAGCATTATGCTCAATTAATGTCTGAAACTACCTTGAGTTTATTCCATTTTATAGTCTGAAGCCACTAAGATTTTTTCAGCTCTTCCTTTATTCAGAGAAGCCAGTAAATAAGCAATCATATTAAATACTGTGCTCTACAATCAGAGAACAGTATCAAAGAGTATAGACCAGGGGTAGTCAACCTTTTTATACCTACCGCCCACTTTTGTATCTCTGATAGTAGTAATATTTTCTAACCGCCCACCAGTTCCACAGTAATGGTGATTTATAAAGTAGGGAAGTAACTTTACTTTATAAAATTTATAAAGCAGAGTTACAGCAAGTTAAAGCATATAATAATAATTACTTACCAAATACTTTATGTCGGACTTTTGCTAAGTTTGGCAGAATAAATCTTTATAAAACAACTTACTGTAGTTAAATCTATCTTTTTATTTATACTTTG